TTATTTAAGGTTGCTTTAAAATAAGGAGCAATATAGAATGGGACCATAAGAAAGAGAAAGAGAAGTGAAGAAAGTTATGAATATTTTTGGTAAGGTAGGTTAAAAGAGAATAATTTTGCATGAAAAAACAGTCCTGTATGGTGAATTTTTTGTTCTAATGTAAAATGTGTAGTTACTTAAGAAAGTACAGGAAAAAAGCAAAAAGTCCAAGCATTTCATAAACAATCTGTGTAAGTCGTAAGGTTTGTGAAAAGAAAACTTATGAAATAAATTTTGTATATAATCAAGCTGGCTATAAAAGGAAATAAGTCTTTGAAAAGATTGATATTTGATAATAAAAATACACTAATAAAAAACAAAAATTTTGGTTCCCTGTGTTAGAACAACAAGATTTGCTTAAAATATTGCTTTGCTTTTAATAAAATTAAAAGAGGTGCTAATTTTTAATTCTGAAATCTCTTTCTCTTTAAAACTTTTTTTTTTGAGATGGAGTCTCACTCTGTCACCCAGGCTAGAGTGCAGTGGTGCAATCTCAGCTCACTGCAACCTCTGCCTTCTGGGCTCCAGCGATTCTCCTGCCTAAGCCACCTGAGTATCTGGGACTGCAGGCATATGCCATCACACCTGGTTAATTTTTTTGTTTGTTTGCATTTTTAGGAGAGACAGAGTTTCACCATGTTAATGAGGATGGTCTCAAATTTCTGACTTCAGGTGATCCACCTGCCTCGGCTTCCCACAGTGCTGGGATTACAGGTGTGAGCCATCATGCCTAGCCAAAAACTTATTTTTATTAAGAAAGTCTCTGTATTGTCTTTATTAAGTTTTTGATTACTCAAGAAAACTGAGCTTTAAAAGGCTAAGATATTTACATCCATGTAACTTTCTGTATTGCTTTTGAAGTCTTTTGATTATTGCTCTGGTTAATAATAAGAATAATTATCATTTTACAAGGATCTGTGATTCCATTTCGATCAAGTGTTTTATACCTTTTGACATCTTTGGCAGATTTCCACAAGATCAAAATCCTAAATTAAGTTTTTTTGACCTAAAGCTCACTTTGGTATTTTCCAGTCAGACCTCTGAGGAGTCTCAAAGAATGTATCTCTCCTCTTGCCAAGATGTTAAATGATTAGACTGATTTGGTAAATTGTATGGGAGAACTGTAAAATGATATGTGACACTAGATCTTCTTTCAGTTATACTTCTGAGTATGTTATTGATAAAATGCTCCAAAATTATATAAATTTATAAAAATCTGTTATCAGTCATAATTTTATTATGTTAAATATTTTCTAAAGTCATATTTGTATAGACATTATTAATGTGAATATCCTAAAGATTATTTGACATTTGTAAAAATGTAATAGTTTTAATGTGACACTGTCAGTCATGATTCTGGTTGTTATCTTAGAATGCTGCACATAACCAAAACATCTAAATTTCTTGTCAATTGGAAACTTCTGTCAGATTTTAACCATGGTTATTCTAAGTTTTTGACATCAACAGTTAATGTTTTAAATTTTTCTTTATAAGCATTTGAAGTCAACAACTATAATCCGAAATTGCTATTGCTATGAAAAGCCTCTGACAAATACTATTGAATATAGGTTTCTGATAACTTTGGAGATCATATAGTTAGGTGAAATAAAAACTTCCAGAACTCTAATGAAAAACTGATGTCTTCATGAAGATTGCTAACCCAACACCAGCAGAATAAGAATTACATGAGGTGAAATCAATGGAGGACTAACGTGACTTTTATGACTTTCTGTTTGAAACATTCAAAAGTCAAGAAAATTTCTCTTTAAGTCATTTATATCTGACAGCAATTAGGGAAAGTATACTTTTGTGAGCCAAACCAAAACAGCTGCATTTCTCTCTCTACATGAATTCTCCATAAAGCCAATAGACTTGAAAGAAGGCTGACCTGGTACCTTGTCTACACAGTTCCCTTGTAGGGTTTTGACCTCATGGCAAATGATGTCCCTTCCTGACAGGCCCAGAAATCTCGAGGTGTTTGGGGGACTTCAAGAAGGGAGGAATTTATCCAATTTTTACAAGTAGTACAAGCGTAATCTGATAATGAATCCTTGGCTTGGCTTTCTAGCCTAAAGAAGTTTTAAAAGTATAATCTAACATGTCTTATGAAAAAGTTCCAGCAAAGCCAGCTTAAAGGGAGACTATATGGACAATCACTATTCCTGTTGCATTTTGTACAAATAATCGGGTCAAGCACAATAAGGCTAAAACTTATATTGCAAGTGAAATTGGCCTATGATTTTTCTTTGGCAGAAAAGAGAGATCAAAGAGAAAAATTATTTTTCAGAAGAAAATTATAGCATACCTGTTATTAGATTCTAGCCCTGACCATTGTTTTTGAGTTTAAAAAAAATTATTATTTGCTTGAAATTTGGACTGAATCATTTCCTGGCTATAGTCAGTCCCTAAAGGGGAATTTGGATTTAATTTTCTTTCTTAGTTGGTTCCCTAATGGAATAGGTTCTTTCCCATTCTTGTATAAAAATTCTCTTTTTGATTATAATTTTTGTGTGCATTATATTTCTCCTATTCAAATTATTAATGCTATGTATCTCTCATTGGTTTACTTCTTCCAAGAAAAGTCAAATTATGAAATTCTGAAAACTAGAGATGATTCAACAAGCAACAGCAACTATAAATTGATGACTTGCTTTGGTTACCCTCAGGACTAATTTCCTTATTCTATTATGTTTTTCAAGTTGTTACGATTACAATATTAGGTTGGTGCAAAAAAGTAATTGTGGTTTTTACCATCAGAAGTAATGGTGAAAACTGCAATTACTTTTTGTGCCAACCTAATAATAAACACAATGTAATTTTTTGGGGCTATTATGTTACTCATTATTTGCATTTCTGCTTGATCAATGGCTAAGGCCAAAATAATGATTTCCTAGTGAGATGACTTATCATTCAGGAGAATAGCATGTAATCATGTGTCACGACCCCATGGTGTTAGCAAACTGGCCTGCCTGCAAATAATAATGTTTTGGGGACACAACTTCCTGGATATAAGCCTTCCCATTGATAGGGAATGAAGAACATCTATTCCCCTAACCTGGCAGATTGATCAATGATGCTTCCATGGGAAGATTTTTTTTTTTTTTGATCAAAAGGGGAATGTGATAACTATAGGACACATTTGGCAGTTTAGTTTAAAAGTAAACAGGCTTTCAAAGTAACCCACCTTGGGAAGGTCTTGTGATTCATGGTGAAATCCTGTCCCTGAATCTTATCATGAGTCTCTTAAATTGTTGACACAGTGATTAATGCATAACCTAGTAACCCTGAAAAGGACACTGAGACATTTCTGAATCTTAGAGGTTTACTGATTGTCCTGCATGGAGACATTTGAGCCTGTGTGTTGCAATCTGTATCCAATAATTGTCAACTTCTGTATTTGTACCCTTCAATGAGAAGGGACAGCTTTGGTGTGAGGAGTCCCTCTCTTCTCCTAACCTTTTCTATAAAACAGGGTTCCCCAACTCCTGGGCTATGGATCCATACCAATCAATGGCCTGTTAGGAACTGGGCCACACAGCAGAAGGTGAGCGGTGGGCAAGCCACTGAAGTTTCATCTGTGTTCACCGCACTCCCCATTGCTCGCATTACCGCCTGAGCGCTGCCTCATGTCAGATCAGCAGCAGCATTAGATTCTTACAGGAATGCAAACATGTAAACTGTGCATGGGAGGGATCTAGGTTGTGTGCTTCTTATGAGAATCTAATGCCTGATGATCTGTCCCTATCTTCCATCACCCATAGATAGGACCGTTTAGTTGCAGAAAAACAAGCTCAGGACTCCCACTGACTCTACTTGATGGTGAGTTGTGTAATTATTTCATTCTTTCATTTTGTGTTACAATGTTATAATAATAGAAATAAAGTGCAGGATAAATTTAATGTGCTTAAAACATCCTGAAACCATCCTGCCCCTGCCCCCACCCTGGTCCATGGAAAAACTGTCTTCTACAAAATTGGTCCCTGGTGTCAAAAAGTTTGGGGACCTCTGTTATAAAAGCATTTCAACTTGTAACAGACTTCAAACACTCCCAGCTTCGTGGGTGTATTTTATTGAGTCACTCCTCACATCTGGCTTTCAATAAATCATTATCAAATTATTTCTTCCTGGCCAGCACTGTGGCTCATGCCCGTAATCCTAGCACTTTGGGAGGCTGAGGTGGGATTCTTGAGCTCGGGAGTTCAAGACAAGCCTGGGCAACATAGTAAGACACTGGCTCTACAAAAATTTTAGGAAATTTGTTGATGTGGTGACAGGTACCTGTAATCCTGGCTACTTGGAAGACTGAGGTGGGAGGTTCACTTAAGCCCAGCAGATTGAGGCTGGTGTGAGCTGTGATTTCACCACTGCATTCCAGCCTGGGTGACACAGCAAGATACTGTCTCAAAAAATTATTTATTCCTAAACAGCCTTAATTTTGGTTGATACTGACTGGAGCCTGTGGAATCATTGAGCAACAGTCAAGAAGTGAGGGTAAACATGCCTTGTCATTTGTCAGATGGTGATGGTTTTTGTCCTAACCAGCTCAGCACACTGAGCGTAAACCTCCCCCCAGACTAGCAATAGGGGCTTCACAAGAGACTCACTTTTCCTGTGTGTGTGTTCCTCTGCAGGATTAATGACAGAGTCCACACCTTGAACTCAACAGCTTGGCTCAGTCTGTTCCTTCTTGCTGACAGAGCTCTGCCTGCACCTTGGAGTAGATATTTGGGATTTTCCTTCCCATCCACACCACCTACTTGAAAATGCTTTTATTCTCTGACATTTGATCATTCTCCCTAATCAGCAGGCCAGCCCTGCCCATTACTTGTCTCTGGAGACCTCAGTGATCTAGAGCTCAGCCTCCCATACTCACTTTCCATGGGAAATGAGGAAATTAGAAGATTTCTATAGAAACACAAGGATGCTTTTTCACTGAGACACCCAATCCCAGACCCATTTACCTGGTTTGCATCTGGTGATGCATCTGGTATTCTTTGCTCATCACACACAGCAACATACTCCAACTGAGACTGAGCACGCTTTGGGGAAAGGCCGTCATGACATAGTGTGTCTGGAGAAATGCCTGAACCATTTTGGGGTTGTAGTTGCAAACTTATACTTACACAAGGGTCAACTAAGGTATTGTTGCGAGACTTCAGTATTCTCTGCTGAAAAAAACAGAAAGATTGGCTTACAACATTGAGTGTGATTTTTCATTAACCCCAGATTTGAGCAGACTTCATTTTTAAGGGATTCATGCCGCAACCCTTCTTTTGTTTAATGTCTGCTTTTATGGGCCTGTACATCTAACTGGAGAATAAAAAAGCACTAAATTATGTGTCTGTGACAGTTTGGCCCAATGCAAGTGCCATTTCCTGTCTCTCACACCCAAGGCAGGCCGTTGTGAAGCCATTCAGGGAGACTGAGCTGGAGCAACTCTATTGGTCCTCCTACTTCAAGTGGCCGACAGGCATGTTCGTCTCAATTTTGAAGTGTCATTCCATCCAGAGAAGCTGCAACGGGAATCTGCTGACTCTTCCTCCACAGTCCCCAATGATCACAGGCCACGCAGGTGTCCCAGAGAAGAACCTCATCACTTTCTGCAGCTCTCTCAGAAAGCTACATCCCTAAAGACAAAATGCCTCCAAGGTCCCCAGAGCTGTAGCTCTTCTCCTGAAGGTAAGCACCTCTCCACTTTCTCCTGAATCTTGAGAGTTTGCTTTGACCTTGGGTGTCTGTGGAATGACTTGGCCTTCTTCCGGTCTGGAACAATGACTGCTTCAGCTTTTGTCAGTAGCCCAGGGCAGAGAGGCCTTAGACAAACCACTCAGTGTGATCCGAGGCACAACGATAGAAAGGTAGCCATATTACCACCTGCCAGAAGCAATCTGGGCCTTTGGGCTAAGATAAATTATAGTATATTAATGTCTAGAATCTCTTACTTTCCCATTGCTTATCACCCAGATAAGACAATGAGGCTGACAGAATCCTTAAGGTTCATCCTTTTGGCCTCCTTTATTTTGCATTATTTCCTTGGCCAAGCCCATCACCTGGAGCTTTGCGGTGGCTCCACAGTTGTTTGTTGAATGGACACATAAGTGCATGAAAAAATAAACACATTTGTCACTTGGGAGAAGAGGTTTCTTAATAGCCAGTAAGTGATTAGCTTGAAATTTTATATCTTGTGATCCTGGAGTATCTCAGTTATCCCCAGCAGGTTTAACAAAAAACTTACAAGCAGGGAAGCTGGCAACAGTAGCACTTCCCACACAGTGCTGAGAGTGACACAAGCGTTAGAAACCAAGGGGAGAGGGGAGACCGACCCTCTGGAGAGAGCCTCTGAGAACTGAGGCAATTGCACCACAGCACCTAAGAGTCATGGGCCCTCAGGGAGTGGAGAGAGGGTGCCTGTGATGAAGGGACGGGAGATGGTCAGCTCAATTGACTAGACCAGTCTGTGTCACCCTCGACTGTCTGGCACTGGATAGATATGTTTGGTTTTAATAATTATATCAAATAATGTCTCTCTCCAGAAAATCAGTGGTTGCAGAGCCTCGTCACTGAGTCTCCGGTCGTAAAGCCAGTGGAGCTGGTAGCCCCAGGAGCCAGCTCTGTAAAGATTGTGACTTCCTGGTATGGCAGAAATATCCAAGGTCACCTATGTCAGAGCTTAGGAAAATGGAAGTTTTTCCATCTCCTTCCTTCACCAGGTTCTTTCTTATACCCAACCTTGGAGAGGCCATGGAAGGTATCAGTGATCTCGCCATTTTTCCATAGAATACATGTAGCATGAAGACCATTGGTCTATCAACTCCACAAACTACTTCCATGGAGGCAGAATTCACCTTCACAAATGGAAGTGAAGTCTGTGCAGTCCCTTTGCTGGGGCCAAAGGGCCTCTCCACAAAGGAAAAGATTTTCCAGGTCAGCAGCCTCACAGGACACTCTGGCTCCCACTTAAAAATTTTCCCACCTATCAATGATAGACTGGCTAAAGAAAATGTGGCACATATACACCATGTAATACTATGCAGCCATAAAAAAAACGATGAGTTTGTGTCCTTTGTAGGGATGTGGATGAATCTGGAAACCCTCATTCTCAGCAAACTGACACAAGAACAGAAAACACTGCACGTTCTCACTCATATGCAGGTATTGAACAATGGGAACACATGGGCACAGGGAGGGGAATATCACATACTGGGGTATGTTGTGGGGTGGGGGAGTAGGGGATGGACAGCAGGGGGCTGGGGAGGTTGGGGGAGGAATAACACTGGGAGAGATGCCTGATGTAGGTGAAGGGGGGATGGAGACAGCAAACCACCATGGCATGTGTGTACCTATGCAACAATCCTGCAAGATCTGCACATGTACCCCAGAACTTAAAGTACAAAAAACACGATAATGTCTGAGCTAGAAAATAAGGTTTGCTTTCAGGCTAAGTGTCTTTCATTTAAACGTAATGAGAGTTTTTCCTTTAAATTCAATAAATTATTTTAACTTTCAAAAAAAACTTTTTCCCTTGCAGAACTCTGTGTGTGTGTGTGTGTGTGTGTGTGTGCGTGTGCGTGCGCGCGTGTGTGTGTGTGAGGTAAATATAAAAGAAAAGGAGAGAATTTTTTTGTTGTTTGCTGCCCTGTGTGACATTTGGCTATACACACATTTTAGGGGGAATTTTCCATTAGTTCATCTGTAGTGACCATCGGATGTTTCTAGGGGAACTTTTGCTTTGTATTTATTTCTTAAATATAGAATCCAGAAAAAACAATGAAAAGCAACCAGTGTTTATGTTGAGGTTGCAAAGGCAGTAGATGCTAAATGCATTGTTTTGTGCATCTCAAACTCATGCTTATTTTTCCAATGCCAGCCCTATGTTTTGTTTTGTTTTTTTAAAGAATGGCACCAGGCGTGATGGCTCATGCTTGTAATCACAGCCCTTTGGGAGGCTACGGTGGGCAGATCACTTAAGGTCAGGAGTTTGAGACAAGCCTGGCCAACATGGTGAAACCCCATCTCTACTAAAAATACAAAAAAAATAGACAGGTGTCATGCCATATACCTGTCCCAGCTACTGGGAAGGCTGAGGCACAAGAATCGTTTGAACCAGGGAGGTGAGGGTTGCAGTGAGCCGAGATTACACTACTGCACTCCAGCCTGGGCAACAGAGCAAGACCCTCTGTAAAAAGAAGTATGGCCCAGCACAGTAGCTTATGCCTGTAATCCCAGACCTTTGAGAGGCTGAGGTGGGCAAATCACGAGGTTAAGAGATTGAGTCTATCCTGGCCAACATGGTGAAACCCCATCTCTGCTAAAAATATAAAAATTAGCTGGGCGTGGTGATGTGTGCCTGTAGTTCCAGCTACTCAGGAGGCTGAGGCAGGGGAATCGCTTGAACCTAGGGGGTGGAGGTTGCAGTGAGCTGAAATCATGCCACTGCACTCCAGCCTGGCAACAGAGCAAGATGCTGTCTCAAAAAAAAAAAAAAAATTATGGCACTTAGCTCTTTTGCTAAAAAACACATATGATTCAGTTCTGTCTTTTAATCTATTTCTGAGGATTGTTTCTATCTCTATCTCAAATGTTGTGATGCTCAAAGGAGCCCTGGACTTATACATTGAGTAATGTTGGAAAGCAGCAATCGCAAAAGGCTCATATTATAAAATCAAATTTTATGATGATGGGTCAATTCAAAGATGGTAAGGCGACAGAGTTAGAAAATCAATAGATGAGACATTGGCAGAAGGTCACTTGATCATCACCTTTTTTCTTGTGGTTGGTGGTTCTGGCAGGCGTCGTTGCTGAAAAAGAAAAGGTATGAGTGATTTGACGGGTTTTCGCTTTTATTTTGTGAGCTTAGTGTTTCTGACTGCCTTCTAAATATTCCTACCTGGATGTCGCACTATTAACTCAAATTCAAGGCGTTTGCATGGACATTACTTTCCATGATTCTCCAGGGATTAAAGGAAGCATGTCGGTGCTTTCCTCTGCCCTCATGACTTCTACAATCATCTGGAGAATGTAGCCACCTCATTTCCCCCAGCTTCTTGACACATTGTGGAGTGGATCTGCATGCTGTCCTTTCTATGTATGTAGAATGTCCCATTCTACAGTTTTACTAGTTGTTTGTCTTTTTAGACCTAGCTCAGTGCAGGGGTTCCACCAAACGGTCCTCAACCTCAATGTGGAAATGACCTTCCCTTCTTTGAACTGTTGCACCTCTTCCAATGTCTCTTTTGAGAACATTGACACCCTGTCTGGGCCTGCAGTTATGAAAGCACAGCCTTCCTTCTGGGTGGGGGCTCACACTTTGTATACCTTCCATAGCTTTAGATGTGGTTCAATAAATATTTGCGGTTCAAAGATCTTTTACTTTGTATATTACTGATTCATTTATTTTTAGAGATGGGGTCTTGCTATGTTGCTCAGGCTGGAGTGCAGTGATCAGCAGGAAAGTATTGACCTGCTCCTTTTCTAACCTGGGCTCGCTCACCTCTCCTTAGGCACTCTGGTGGTCTCCTACGTTGATGCTGAACTTAGGGTGGACACCTAATTGGCATAGCACACTACAGCTCAGAACTCCTGGGCTCAAGTGAGTCTCCTGCCTCTGCTTCCTGAGTAGCTGGGACTACAGACATGCACCACTGTGCCTGGCAGATCTCTTTTTTAATTGTTAGAGTGGCACAAGGAAGGACTGTCTGCAGGCGTGCAACAGAAAGCACTGTATTTGGAGTCGAAAGACACAGTTATCTTTGTAACATCAAGGGGTTGACATGAGAAGCAATGAAGTTGCTTTAAACTGAAATTTATTTATATTCTTTTACAAGAATAAATTTGAGATGGCTTATCCAAAGACATCTTGTTGAAATATTTTATAATCCAAAAGCTACATACATATATATATATGTAGTTCCTGGAGATATATATATATATATATATGTATATGTGTGTGTGCATTTAACATTTACACCCCCCCAAATTTAAGACTTCCACTCCAGTTTAAGTTACTCTCCTGTGACCAAATTGCGCAGTTTATTAGTGGCAGAGGCAAGGCCACAATTTACTGCCTGACCTTCAAAAGGATAAGAAATAAAGTTCTTAGAGGCTTAAGCTGTAATATAAGCCAGCCAAGGTAATGTGCAGGTGAGAATGTTAGTAATAAAGTATGCAACGAGACCTGGGCAGGGGAAGTCGTGGTGAGTTTCTGGACACTGAGAAATTCTGCTAAAGCTTGGTATTAGTGAAGCATGACAGATAAATCCTTGATTTCAGCCATTTGTCACTAGAATACCTCCATCAGTGATTTCAGGGTGTATCCACCACAGCGTATGCTTAGCTTCCAATTCTTGGATGCTTCATAGCCTCCTTCAATTTCAAATTCCCTGGGAGTGAGCCACCTTTTGTCCTCAATCTGTATACACTTCTTTGAGGTTCCTGTAAGACCAAGACAAGGTGAGCTCCCCAACTGTGAAAAGACCTGAACTTGACCTCCCCCCATGCTGGGATCTGGAGCCACCTGCTTTGGGCTCAGGATCCTAGTAGTAGAGTCTGAATTTTCCACTTAGACATCAGGGGCTTCATACCTAGCCTGAAGTAACAGAGAATAAGGTGACTCTGTCGTGTGTGTATATTTCTTTGACCTTCATGCAATGAGAAGACCTATTACTACCATCATTTACCTTTTCAAAGTATTTTACTATATATCAAAGGTCAGGGGTGGATGCAGAGAGTGGCCCTAGAGAATGAGCAGAATTCTTTCTCCTCCCTTCTCTGAGACCTGATGTAGAGTCAGCCTTAATTTTAGAGAGGTGGATGAAGGAACAAAGCCCTCTCTATGGTGCTCTTGGGTTCCTAGGTGGCCATGTGGAAGCTGTTACTATAGCCAAATCTGCCTTGTCTTATACCAGATTGTTCATTCAGCAAATGACAATCAATTATGTTTCATATTTTGAACTCATGGTTATTTTATATTAAAAGTAATTATGAAAATGTTATAGAGTGGGAGAGGTTAAATTATGCTTTTGCAACATAGTCATGGGGCAAACATTTGTGTTTGTTGGTGCTCAAAGAACTCTATTGTGTGTGGGGGGTGTCAATCACAACAGATGAACACTGGTTCTGTAATTATCAGTTATAATTTGCAAAGTACTTTATGTCTTTTGTTCTCATAATAATACGGTGAAGCAAGTTATATTATTGTTCTGATTTTGCAGAGAAGGAAGTTCAAGGTTAGAGAGACCGCGTACCTGGCTGTAGATGAATCACTCTTAGTATAGCTGAAACTTGATTGCAGGTCTTCTAATTCATTTAGCAGAAGGCTTTAGAGATGTTATGGGAAATGGGGCTGTGAAAGTTAATGCTGAGATTCTCAGATGTGTACGTTTTCACCCAAGTAATGAGGTGCTTGCCCTTGTATTGGGTGCTAGTGGGATGTCTTGTGGGCCTTTTACATGAGGGAAAGGAAAGATGGCCTCATAGGCCAATGTTTTATGAATTTTAAAAGTGTAAAAATGCCATTGTTGTATAAAAAAGCGTTGACCACTTTGGGAGGCCAAGGTGGGTGGATCACGAGGTCAAGAGATCGAGACCATCCTGGTCAACATGGGGAAACCCCGTCTCTACTAAAGATACAAAAAATTAGCTGGGGATGGTGCCGTGTGCCTGTAATCCCAGCTACTCAGGAGGCTGAGGCAGGAGAATTGCCTGAACCCAGGAGGCGGAGGTTGCGGTGAGCCGAGATTGTGCCATTGCACTCCAGCCTGGGTAACAAGAGCGAAACTCCGTCTCAAAAAAAAAAAAAAAGAGTTAACGTAGTGGGCCTGAGACTATCCTTAAAGAGCCTATATGCAAGATTGGCCATTGTCTATGTGCAAGGCTGGCCACTGGCATTTGGGAATTTGGGTTTTAGGAGAGTCTATCATTCCCAGATTTCACTGTGGGCAAACAAGCAACATCAATAAACATATTGTTCATCCATAAAGATAAAGCCCTTTAAAGAGAAATCCCTCTTATTTATGGTTATAAATAAATGCAATTTATTTATATTCTCTTACAAGAATGAATTTGAGGTGGCCTATCCAAAGAAATCTTGTTGAAATGTTCTGTAACCCTGGAACTACCTATCCTGATGCATTATATTCAGACATATGTAAATAAATCTCATTTATTTATAACCATAAATGAAGAAGAGGGCTCACCGTACCTAAACTGTTTGCACAGCCAATACGGTTTAGGCAGAACACTTGCTTTCCTTCTGGGAATCTGGAATTTTGGTATGTGCCAGGCAGAGGGTGCCTATGTGACTAACCCCTGGCAAAAACCCTGGACTCCTAAACTCAGGCTGGCTTCCCTGGTAGACAACGTTTTACACGTGTTGTCACAGCTTATTGCTGCAAGCATTAGTGAGTCCTGTGTGACCGCTGGGAGAGGATTCTGGAAGCTTGCTTTTGTTGTCTCTGAACTTCACCGCATGTGCCTTTTCCATTTGCCATGTTTTGCATGCTTCACTCATAAACCTTAGCTGCAAATGTGATGATGTCCCAAGTCCTAGGAGAGCTAGCAAATCATCAAGCCTGAGGCTGGTTTTGCAGACCCTCAATGCAGGTGTCTACTCCTAAACAGTATGCTATCTGTGTGGATGTTTTCCGGCTGAGATTGTAGATGACCAGAAAACTCACCTTGTTTGAATCGCTCCTTTTGTAGAGTGCCCCTCAGTTTACCACAGGTCACAGGAAGTTCAGGTTGTTCAAAATCAATATTTTTATCTCTGGGAATTCTTGGAGCTGCAAGGAAGCATTGTTTGTTTTCCATTCCATCTTCTTTCACAACTGTGCATTGTCCCCCCAGCCTGTCTTGAGAACTTTTTTTATAATGTAAAATGTATTGGAGGGATGTCCCCCATGAATCAGTTATATTTCAGAGTCTTTCTTTTATGGCACATTAGATAGCTACAGACACTGTCGTCCTCTACTCCACCCTCTAAAATCCCACACAGCAGCCTGGTGCGTGGTAGGATCTCAGCTTTAAAGCTGGTTGGTCGCATCCACCTATTACACAGTGATTTTCCAAAGGGAGATTCCCACTCATATCATTGCTTCGATGTTATGTTTAAAAAAGAACCCTCAAATTTTAGTCTCATCTCCCCATTCCAGGCATTGACTGAGGGGACGGAGGGCAGGATGGCAGTGTGGCCCCTAATGGAGCATCTTTCGAGGTGGTGTCTGTCTCCCTCTTTGTCTACTGCTTTGCTTCACTTCCCTTTCACTTGAGCTTTCTCTGTGGCTAGAAGCAAAGCTTGGTGTGAGGGGATCTAGAAGAAATTGCACATTGAGAGAGGAGGGATGACTAGAGATCGATGAAGGGTTCAAATACACGGAAGAAACAGGACCTGGTATTTTCAATAGATCAATAGGGTGATTATAATTAACAACAATTGATTGTACATTTCAAAATAGCTAAAAGGGAATAATCTGAATGTTCCTGGCATCAAAAAAGATAAATATTTAAAGTGATGAATATCCCAATAATTCTGATTTGATTATATGAAGTATCAAATTATTACATGTACCCCCAAATATTTCTATCTTATTATGTATTAATCAATCAATCAATCAATAAAAAAGAAAGTGAGCGTTGCTCAGGGAACCCTGCAAGGGCACATGACTGGGGCACTGGGGATCTGGTTCCACTGAAGCCACTGGTTCCAATGAAGGGCTTAAAATGAACTTCTGGTCAATGTCAAGGCTCAGCACTAGCTCCATATGCCAATTAAAAAAACTGACCTATTACTCACAGTATAAGGTGTTAAATATTAAACGTTTAATTATGAAAAGCATATCAATTACTTCTTTTTACCTCTTCTTCTTCTTCTTCTTCTTCTTCTTTTCAAAGGTTTAGTGTTGGCTTTTATTCCTGAGAAAGTTGAAAGACAACATAAGTGTCTCTGCATTGCACATAGTAGCGTTTTACAAAACCACCATTCAAATGCAACTTTTCAGGACCCTGTCTAGAACTTAAAGAAAAATATCAAGTGCTAGATCAGGAGTCAGGAAGTTTTTTTTTGTAAAGAGACAGATAGTAAGTAGTTCAGATTTTTCCGTTCATAACTTCTGTTGTGACTATTCAGCTCTGTAGCTGTATATGAATGCATCCGTAGACAGTGTATAAATCAAAGGATGTGACTGGCTGTGCTCCAATTAAACTTTATTTACGGTCAGCAGGATGGATTTGCCCTGTAGGTCATAGGCTGCTGACGCCGATCTAGACTTAGTTACAACCATGATGCTTAACTATATTTCTCTGAGATGCAGCCTATATTTCCCTATCAATATCTCCAAATCAACTCAAATGAATTTGAAACAGTATTTTACCTGCTTTCCAAGCAACAGGAGAGCAAGAATGAAGTTGAACATGCATTCAGTGCTTGTGGCATGCCAGGAGCTATCCTGAAATCTTTACCGCTATTAACCTCCTTCATCTTTAGAACAAAATCTATTAAATAAGCACTGGTACTATCCTCGCTTTACAGATGAGGGAATGATGAGGAAATTGATGCTCAGAGATAAAAATATAAATTAAAGTGTTTACAATTTTCTTTGGGAAAGGGACAGAGATAAAAATCAGCAACATATGGTCTCAGGACATAGCTTATGGTAGACGCTACCCGTCAGATACATAAACTTGGAAGGTTTTGTACTAAAAATGGTGAGGAAAATGACCAAGGACTTAAAAACCAACCCAATGAAGGCTATTCAAGAGGAATTTATAGAAATTAAGGCACAAGGCCTAAGAGTTGTATGGCTAAAGATAGCACAAGGGGTTGACTTAAAAGATCTCTCAGGGCTGGCTGTGGTGGCTCACGCCTGTAATCCCAGCACTTGGGGAGGCTGAGGCAGGTGGATTACCTGAGGTCAGGAGTTCAAGACCAGCCGGGCCAACATGATGAAACTCTGCCTCTACTAAAAAAAAAAAAAAAAATAGCCAGGCATGGTGGTGCGTGCCTATAATCCCAGCTATTTGGGAGGCTGAGGTAGCAGAATCATTTAAACCTGGGAGGTGGAGGTTACAGTGAGCCAAGATAGCACCACTGTATACCAGCCAGGCTGGCAGAGCAAGACTCCATCTCAAAAACAAAACAAAAACCTGGAAGCATGTATCTATGTGCTGATCGATGTGTCCAAACAAAGAGCCAGTCATTCCAGATGTATGTTTAGATCTGCATCGTTCAAATATGTTTCCTGAAGTCAGGCACACAAATTGGATGCTCTTTCTTTCTGAAGGTCTGTCCCCATTATTCTGTGCCCATGGCTGGTATCATAGGGTGTCAGTTTGGATCCTGTAATCCCCAGGAGAAAACCTCCTCCAGATACTCAATCATGAATGCTCTTTCTTTTGAGCAAATTATGACTAGATTAAGCCGGAAAGGCATTTTTCCTTCAATCTAGGATAAAGAAACCTTGAGATTGCTGACAACATATTTTCTGGGCCTCTGTCATAACAATTACTTAGAGATTTGCTTTTTGTTTTGTTTTGTTTTCCACCTCATCAAGATAAAAATGATACCGTCAGACATTTACTGATAATTCACATGTCAAGAGGAATCATATCCCAAGAAAAAGCATGCTCCACCTCACAAGATGTTGCCCTCAGGAAGTTTATTAAAATATTAAGGAGACACATGGAGAGGAGAGATTACTAAACTTGCATAAAAGAATTATAAACTTGGCTATTATAAACTAAAGAATTTTTTTCTTTTTTGACTGAGTCTTGCCCTCTTGCTCTGTTGCCCAGGCTGGAGTGCAGTGGCACGATCTCAGCTCCCTGCAACCTCTGCCTCCCGGGCTCAAAATTCTCCTGCCTCAGCCTCCCAAGTAGCTGGGATCACGGGTGTGTACCATCATATTTGGCTAATTTTTGTATTTTTAGTAGAGATGGGGTTTTACCGTGTTGCCCAGGCTGGTCTTGAATCCAGGGCTTAAGCGATCCCCCTGCCTTAGCCTCCCAAAGTGCTGGGGTTACAGGTGTAAGCTACTGCTTATGGCCTGAACTAAAGGTTTAAAAGAAACACATAAAATGTGGAAACACTGAAAACTCGAGGAAGTAGATGAAGCTTTCTTATCACTCCTTGCTTGTCTCTTAGAAAAAGTTGCTCTAGCTTGATCATTTTCCAAGATCATGATCCGGCCAGGTGTGGTAGATAATGTGGTTGCTACAGTAAGATATTATCCACATGGGTGGCTCTGGTGGGACTCTCCCTCCTGTCACTCATGATGCTCAAGTTGCAGGTGTACCCTGGAAAACTGGCTACTTCTAACTCCTCTCTCTTTCCCCCAACTCTCCCTCTTCCCCACAGTCCCATCAAAAGACACCTGTGCTCTGTCTGCTTTCTTCTTTCCCACAGAGTGGGAAATCCAGCTCTGGCCGTAACCTGGATCTATTCAGCAGTAGCCATTATTGGTCAATGTATGTTCTTTTGCTCTCAGTCTCTCTATGTTTAAATCCTTCTTGGACTGCAGGGAATTCCTTTCAATCAAAACCTATTGAGGGCCTCAGGGCAAAACATCAGAAGCTGATTGCACTCCTTCCCAGTTCTTGGCATGAAGACATCTGGGCTGAGGAGCAGATCTTGTAATAAAGTGCGCATAACTGTGCTTTGCAGTGGCTGGGTGTTCGCTGGCTCCAGCACCTCACTGCAATTGTACATCCAGGCAGTCAAATGCTGGGACGAAGTAGGTTTTAACAGTTCTGGGTCTACCAGTCTTAATTCTACATTAACCACATAAAATAATATGGTCAGAAAAATTTAAAAATTATTTAAAAAAATATATATTTTTCATAGCAGGGACTAATCATTATGGGCAAAAGAGTTTATTACCATGTTTAGGTGATTCTTTAGTTATCTCAGAGTATTGCAGAAACCTCAACATCCAAGAATGTCACAATAGGAGCCCTGTACTCCTACATCCTAAGGCAAGATGCTAGTCTATCTGCAAAGAACATGGTAGGGGATTGGGAGCCTGGTTCTGCCTACATCAGCCTTCTCCACCTCTAGCCTCTAGTAGAGAGGCCACATTTCTCTGGAGAGACTTGTCAGACACCTTCTCTCCAGCCAAAGGAGAAGGTTTAAAGACATCTAAGCAGGAGACGGACCTCTGTCACTGGGAATGTCAGGGAAAGAGAGACTCTCAGACTCACCCCTGAGAAGCATAAAGGTGAGGGTCATGGCTAGTGGGGTCAAGAGTGCCAGAGGGCTGAGCTGGGAGCCAGCAGGGGAATCAATGAAGAAGCACAATTCCCGTGGCCTGGTGCAGACCCTGTGGATGGAGCTAGACTGGGTGTTTTTAAGAGGTACTCTCACTGAGGGTGTATCTTCCAGAAGGACCATCCAGAGTCTTAATTCCCAAGCAGGTTGGCTGCCACCAACCATGGAGAGGCAGTTGCATACACTGCGTCTGCCATTCTAGTGGGGGAATTCATAGCTAAAGGAAATATATATATGTATTTATATTTGTTTCACTATGTTAGGTGATTCTTTAGTTATCACAGAGTATTAGCAGAAGCCTCAACATCCAAGAATGCTACAATAGGAGCCCAGTACTCCTGTATCCTCAGGCAAGATGCTTTCTTTCTCTCTCTTTCTCTCTATTAATATATATACATATAATGCTCTTTCTCGTGCTCTCTCTATATATATAGTGTGTATATATACACACACATATAAAGAGTGTATATATACATATATGCATATATAGAGTGTATATATATACATATACACATAGTGTATTCTATGCACATATGTATTCTATATATAGTGTGTGAATATAGAATATAATACATATATTCTCTATATATATTCTTTCTCTATGTGTGTGTGTATATATATACACTCTTTATATACACACATACATATATATGTAGAATGTAGGCACATTCTACGTGTGTGTGTGTGTGTGTGTGTGTGTGTATGGGGGGAGAGAGAGAGAGAAAGAGAGAGAGAGAGAGAGAGAGAGAGAGAGAGAAAGAGAGAGAGAGAAAGAGAGAGAGAGAGAAAGAGAGAGAGAGTACTCCTTCTGCTAAATTGATAACTCTCAAGGCTGGAAATAGTTGTTGGCATAAAAATAAAAACAAAACAAACAAAACCTATGTAATTAACAAGTAATGTAGCTGTCCCTCCTCTTGCCCATCACCATGGGGTAATTATGTGGACTTGGGTCTGCCCCATGTAAATTACGGTTTTACTCATCTGTAAAGTGAAATTAAAGTCAGTTAGACTAGACTGACTGCCCTTCGAGGGCCATCCCAACCATATATATATATATATATATATATATATATATATATATATCAGAGAGAGAGAGAGAGAGAGAGAGTCTATATGAAGTTATGTGGCCAGAGAAAAAGTTTCAGGTGTCAAAATTCTTTTATATGACAAATTTGTCTGTAAATTTGAGCAGGATGGCAACAGGGCAGCCTGGCAGGAGATGGTGTCTATCTTCTCTGCTTGCCTCCTCCTCTTTCACAGCAGCTTTCTCCTGGCTGAAAGAGCAGCTCAGCAGAGTTCTAGAATCATCTGCAAATTGCACGAGGGGAAACTTTACATTTCAGAGTCTCTAATTGGTGGAGGTGAGGACTGAAGAGCTGACTTAGTAGAAACAGGTGTACATGTCTTAAATGAACTTGAGGATGCTGAGCTGCCATTCCAACCCTTCCAGCTAGTGACACTGGGGAAGAGACACATTCTACAAGGTTTCTGTGCTGATGATGCAGGAGACGGGGCTGTCCATGGTTTTTACCAATTCCTGTAGGAGATCCATGGAGTGAGAAGTCACGTAGGAAGCTGGGATGGGCCTTGGAGGGCAGTCAGTCTAGTCTGATTTAATTTCACTTTACAAAAGAGTAAACTGTAATTTACCTGGGGCCGACCCAAGTCCACACAGTTACCACATGGTGATGGGCAAGAGGGGGGACAGCTACATCACTTGTGAATTACACAGGTTTTGTTTGTGTTGTTTTTATGCCAACAACTATTTCCAGCCTTGAAAGCTCCTGGTTCAGCAGAGGGAGCCCTCAAGCAGCTTGTGGGCCCTGGGGTCTGTTTGCAGATCCATCACCAAGCTACTTACTTGTTTGTGGTGCTATCATCCTTTCTCCCTGACATATTTTGGAACTTGACTAAATCTGATATGTTTCTCAACAGTAATTACAGCTACATAAAGCAATTAGTTTCTTACTAAGAGCATGAGAATTTAGATGTTACTTATTTAAAGTGTTTTTTTTTTTTTTTACCTTTTGGATGCCTTCTTGTCTGTAGGGCTTTGTTATTCCATGTTGAGTGTTTTCTACGTCTGCCTCTTTTTCTCCCTGAGAAAATAGGAAAATATAAATATGGATGGTGTATAAAACTGACATTATACATAATAGTGCTTTCAAAAATGTTGTTTAGCTGTAACTTTTCCAGATCCTAACACACAAAGAAAAATATGTAACAGATAGACTTGCAATGACCATGCCTTTGGTGGTTAACCCGGGTTCATCCTAGATTTTCTTTTCTTTACCGTGACATTAATCCAAATTTATTTGCCCCCCACATTAATTTTAAAAAGAATTTAAGATAGAGTTTCATTTATATCCCAAAGAATACTGTAACAATAATAATTATGAGGACTGATACCTAAGTGCTCATCATGTGCTAGACACTAATATAAGATATTTATACCTACTAATTATTTATGAGATAGAGACTTCTACTACCCTATCACCAAGGAAGAAACCGCAGCATACAGAAATTGCAAAATGAAGGGAAGAATTGCAGATTTCCTCCGGTTGTGAAGCAGAAACCAATGGCAGCAATGCAAGAATTTGGATTGTTCAGCTTATTATGATGGTGAGACACCAGCCACCATCTTAGCCCTCAGTGAAGGTGCTGGCACTGAAAATACAGTGAAAATGACCAAAGGTCTTAGTCACATAGCTTTGGCCAAAAAATTAGGATCTAAGAAACTAATCATGAGACTATTGTCCAAGGAAAATTTACGCAGAGATTCAAGTCCCAGAAAACCTTATGGTTAGAAACCTATCTTGGGAATATGCTCTCAGATTCAGCAGGTGATGGGGAGTAGGCAGAAAGACAGTGAGGTGTGTGCAGGAGCATCTCATGAACGCCATGTTTAAAAGTTCTGATCTCTCAGACAAGGCCACAAAGTGCACCCTTTCCCTCCCCTCCCCATCCCCATTCTTCTTTCCTTCCTGCCTCCCTTCATCCTTCCCTCCCTCCCTCTTTCCCTCCCCACACCATTTCCTTGTCTTTATCTTCCCTTCTCTTTCCTTCTATGGCCTGGCCACAATTTGAACTTGTCCAACCACAGACATCTTAGGTGAACAAAGACTCTTTTTCTGTCCCTCTACGTCTTTCTCTGGTCCTGTTGTAGTCACCTTTCATCAAAGCCCATTGAAGACAAATTAGAGGTATACAAGTAGTTTAGTTCAGTTTGCTCGAGCTCTACTTACTAGATTTGGGGCTTAAGATCTGCTAATACTGTAGAGCTCCTGGGACTTCCTTTGTAATTATTCTTTGCAAATTTTCTTGCTCAAATACCCCACAGGAAGTAGTGTGGCTATTCTTGGATTTCCTATCTAAATGCTACCATGTTCTTGCTACAGAAGTTGAGTAAAGTGCTCCACCCTCCTTAAGACAAGTGAGAAGACTTCAGCTTCAAGGCAACTGATCTGCACCTTCAGGAGTTTGAGGAAGGCAGAGACATTTATAGACTCAGTCCTAGAATGTTGAGAGGGTATGAACAGTCATAATTCCTATAGGACTCCCTGGGGAAAGAAGGAGCTCACTTAGTTCTTCTTGAGAGATAATCCATCTGGGAGAATCACTTGGATGGATGAGTTGACCCCAGCAGGAGCATAGTGTGGACCTAGGGCTGGGAGATGGAGACTGAGGAAATTGGTAAGCAGCCAGTTGAAGTTCCTGAATTAGGGGAACTTCAGTTGAGAGGTTCTCTCTAAGTTGAGTGTCTCTGAAGAACTCACAAATGAATATGGCTCATGCATCCACCATATCTAGGAGACACCAAAATCTATAAGGTTAGTGCAAAAGTAATTGCGGTTTTTGCTATTACTTTTTTTTTAAAGGCAAAACCCACAATTACTTTTGCACTAACCTACGTAATATGAGGGCCATTTCAGCTCCTAATCACTAACCCACAATTACTTTTGCACTAACCTACGTAATATGAGGGCCATTTCAGCTCCTAATCACTAACCCACAATTACTTTTGCACTAACCTACGTAATATAAGGGCCATTTCTGCTCCTGATCACTTCCTTCTCCCCCTCCTCTTAGACCTAAATTAGCTAAAAGCAATAGATACTGAGTGGAGTTGGAGAGGAAGAGTGGATGAAAGTAAATGCTGACTTCACCCAGCTTGCCTATCACATAGTTTCCAGTTTTAATATCAGCTCAGGCTTTTAAATATTAAATGAGATATTACTGCTGGCCAGGTGCGGTGGCTCACGCCTGTAATCATAGCACTTTGGGAGGCCAAGGCGGGCGGATCACGAGGTCAAGAGATTGAGACCATCCTGGCCAACATGGTGAAACCTCATCTTTACTAAAAATACAAAAATTAGCTGGGCGTGGTGGCACACGCCTGTAGTCCCATTTACTCGGGAGGCTGAGGCAGGAGAATTGCTTGAACCCAGGAGGGGAAGGTTGCAGTGAGCCCAGATTGCGCCACTGCACTCCAGCCTGGCACCTGGCAATGGAGCAAGACTCTGTCTCAAAAAAAAAAAAAGATATTACTGCTAAAAGGGACTAGCATAGCTCTAGAGCTCACCTAAGACTTCATCCATGGGCAAGAAAAGAACTATCTGGGAGAACAGGTTTGAAAAGGAAGTAGAAGGAATAAATGTGATTTCTGCTTAGACTTAACAAATCCAACTATCCCTCATTTCCTAATCAGGGCTGGCATGTCTCTCACATAGCTCTGTAATGCAGCTCAGCTTCCAGCTCCTGTTCTTGCCAAAGAGTCTCAGGTGACTAAAAGGCTGGCTCTGAATCAATGGAGAGTCTGAGTTTTCCTCCTTATTTGAGAGAATCAGTGACTCTGGAGGCAAACATGAAGGGCAAGTAAGCATATTGCTATTTGTTACCCATAGTCATTCTTTCTTCCATAAGAATAGACTTACAGCTGAACCCAGGACAGCCTGGCCAGCACGACATTTTTCAGCCTCACGTTACAGCAAGCTCTGGCCATGTGACCAAGTTTTGGCCAATGGGATGCAGGCAGAAGACTTCTGAGTCTTTCTATTAAAATAAATAAATGGCTGGTTCTTTTGTCAATTTTTTTTTTTTCATTCCCACTAGTTGGGAGACAATGTCAACCAGATCAGCCTCTGTGGACCCACAGTCGGAAACCTTATGTGAAGGAAGGCAGACTTCTGGCCTTTTACATTATGTGGTTTAAGCCATTGCATTTGGGGATCTGTTTATTTCAATAACTTAGCTGCTACTCTAAATAATCCATTAGGTCTGAAGCCATCATGGCCCTTAGGAGATTTTGAGGCTGCAGCAAAGATGGGGTCTGGCAGAAAGAACAGGACCACAGTGAGTTCTAAGGAGTAAATCCCCACATTTCTTCTTACCTTTTTGGAGACCGTTTGCTTTAGACATATGTCTTCTCTTCTTTCCTGCAAACAGAAAAGAAAAAAAATAATTCTTTAGAACTATAAACAAAGATTTAAACACTTTATATGTCAATAGTTATCAAGTATTTAATTTTGTTTTCCTTCCACTTTTGTGGGACTAAGTCATCGGCTTCCAACATCCCATCTTGGTAGTTGTCACCCAGAAACGAATAACCACAAAGCAACCTGTTTTTACACAGTGCTAGTCGTTTACACTATGCTTGTACATATCCATATGTGGTCTTATCATTCATAATGAAGAAACTTGTTTTTTTAAACCAGTTGTTTTAGACCAGTTTTTTTTTTTTTTTTCAGACCTGTCATCCAGGCTGGAGTGCAGTGGCATAATCTCAGCTCACTGCAACCTCTGCCTCCTGGGTTCAAATGATTCTCCTGCCTCAGCCTCCAGAGTAGTTAGGACTATAGGCACCTGCCACCACGCCCAACTAATTTTTTGTATTTTTAGTAGAGATGGGGTTTCACCATGTTAGCCAGGATGGTCTCAATCTCCTAACCTCATGATCCACCTGCCTCAGCCTCCCAAAGTGCTGGTATTACAGGCTTGAGCCACTGCACACAGCCAAAAAAGTTTTAAGGTAGCTGAAATCAAGCAGAAGCTGACAGCAGCAGCAGAAGAGTACCAAGAGGGTAAAGCATTAATAGGTCTAAGAAATCACCAGTGACAGCCAGGCGCAGTGGCTCATGCCTGGAATCCCAGCACTTTGGAAGGCCAAGGAATGTGGATTGCTTGTAGGCCAGGATTTCAAGACCAGCCTGACCAACATGGCAAAACCCCATCTTCACTGGAAATACAAAAATTAGCCTGGAGTAGTGGCATGCATCTGTAGTCCCAGCTACTTGGGAAGCTGAGGCAGGACAATGGCTTGAACCTGGGAGGAGGAGATTGCTGGGCGACAGGGCAAGACTCTGTCTCAGAAAAAAAGAAATAAATTACCAGTGAAGTACACTTTTTGGAATTCAGAGGCATGCCTTAAACAGTAAAGCTGTAATCATCTTATAACAATCAGAACTTAAGAAAGAAGTAGAAAAAAAATCAGAGAAATGATGACAGTTTGGAAGGTAAATAAAAGAGATTATGCATTTCAGAAATTAAAGTGAAGGATGGAAATTGCATAAATAGGAAAAGGAAACAAGAAGCTTTAAGAATGATTAAGAAAAATTAGAGAGAAAATAAGCTGGACACAGTGGCTCACACTTGTAATCTCAGCATTTTGTGAGTCCAAGCCAGGTGGATCACCTGAGCTCAGGAAGTTGAGACCAGGCTGGCCAACATAGTGAAACCCCATCTTTATGAAAAATTAAAAAATTAGCTGGCATGGTGGCACACACCTGTAGTCCCAGCTACTTGGGAGACTGAGGCAGGAGAATCACTTGCCCTGGGAGTGAGCTGAGACACTGTCTCAAAAACAAAATAATATAAAATAAAAATTAGAGAGCAAATTATCAATATAAGTCAACAAATTATTGAAATTCCCAAAGAAGAAAATCCAAATAATGGAAGAAATACTTGATGAAAAATTTCGTGGAGTTATAATATAAAAAGTATCTATCTCTTCACTTTGTCACAGAGAATTGACTAAAAACAGCCAACACCAAGATATATTTCCAGCAAATTTATTGGACTTTAAAGGTAAATAAAGAATAAAATGGGCAGGGTAGGCAAAAAGTTATATTCAAGGGAGGAGACTTATTGGCCACAAAATTTTTCACAGCAACATTTAATGCCACAGGGAAGTGGAGAAAAACCTATAGGATATTTCTAGAAATACAGAATGAGCAAACTATTTTTTCAGGTATAAATATCACAAACAAATAATTTTGAACAGAAAAATCCTTGGAATGCAGTTTCTGAGACCTTACTGGGAAAACTGCTACAAGATATACTTCAGCAAATTAAGGTAGAACTGAGAAATTCTGGCAAAAGGACCAAAATAAAAGTGGCAGATGAGAATATCAAGTGCATATGCTCTGACAATATAGAAATAGTATATAATAACAAAAAAAAAAAGTAAGGAGAAGGGTTGGGTAGAGTGGCTCACGCCTGTAATCCCAGCACTTTGGGAGGCTTAGGTGGAAAGATCACTTGAAGCCAGGAGTTTGAGATCAGCTTGGGAAAACTAGCAAAACCTCGTCTCTACAAAACATTGGAAAAAATTAGCAAGCTGTGGTGGTGGACATCTGTAGTTGTAACTACTGGGGAGGCTGAGGTGGGAGGATCACTGGAGTTAGGGGTTGTAGCTCTAACATCACTGCCCTCTAGCCTGGGAGGCAGAGTGAGACCCTCTCTCTAACTAAAACAAAACAAACAAACAAAAGACAAGGAAGAGAGAGCAAAAATGGGCTATAGAGCAAGTTCTTTGTTTATTTCATAGGTAGGAGTCCAACATTCTTGTGTTGACAAATCCAAGAGTGGATGTAAAGCATAGTTAATGGCTGAAAGGTAAACATAATGGGAATGTCATGGCCTAAAACTGGGTGGGAGAGGAAAAAAACTGGACAGCAGGATGGCACACAGGCTGACTTTATAAATCTTCTGGGTGCGAAACTAAAGGGTGCTGTCTAAAATAGAGCACCAGAGGAATCATATAAAGGTAATCCTGAAAGTAATCACTGGAACAAAGACACAAACGTTCTTTAAATTGGAAGTATACACTCCTAACCATTGCAAAAATAGGAAATGAGTGTGGGCTGCTCACTCATTATTTCAAGGGAAAAACTCAGAGGTGGCTCACATGTCTTCTGCTCTGCCCTTGGCTAGAACCTAGTGACTTGGCCAGAGCTAACTGTAAGAAAGGCTGAAAGTATAGTGATTTGGTTTGGTTCTGTGTCCCCACCCAAATCTCATGTTGAATTGTAATCTCCATGTGTCAGTGGAGGGGGCTGGGGGAGGTGATTGGATCATGGAAGCAGATTTTCCCCTTGATGATCTCATGATAGTGAGTTCTCACAATCTCTGGTGGTTTAAAAATGTGGCACTTCAGCAGCCAGCACAGGAACTCACAACTGTCTAACATGCTAAGCTTCCTGGGCAGAGGGAAGGTGGCATCCATCTCTATAGCTCCAGGTCATGCTTTTCCTCTGCTGGAGCCTGGGAGGCTGGATGGCTTAGTCCCAAGACCTGGCCCCTAAAGCCCAACACACTGGCTGTGGCTGACTGTGGCCAGAGTGGCTCTTTAGACCTGACCCTGACTCATTCTTCCTCACTAGGCAGGGCTTCCCTGCAGGAGCTCCAAAAACTGTAGCCAGAAGCTCAAGGACAGAACCCAGATATCCCTGGGCCTGAGCCCATAGGGGGAAGGGTGGTCACAGTCTCTGTGGACCAGCAAACTTAGCCTTTCCTCCTGGTAGTTCTGAGGAATCCAGGCAGCCCAGACAAGTGGGTTTCCCCCCAGCAAAGCACACCCTCTATACCAAGGGACAGTTAATGTGCTTCATTGAATAGAACCTCCAGGAAATATGGGACTTTGTAAAAAGACCAAACCTAGAGTTGATTGGAGTACCTGAAAAAGACAGGGAGAATGGAAACAAGCTGGAAAACACACTATTATCCAGGAGAACTTCCCCAACCTAGCAAGGCAGGCCAACATGCAAATTCAGAAAATATGGAGAACACCACCTAGATACTCCACGAGAAGATCAACTCCAATACACATGATCATCAGATTCTCCAAAGTCAAAATGAAGGAAAAAAGTGTTAAGGGCAGCCAGAGAGAAAGGCAAGGTCACCTACAAAGGGAAGCCCATAAGACTAACAGCAGACCTTTCAGCAGAAACTCTACAAGCCCAAAGAGATTGGGTGTCAATAATCAACATTCTTAAGGAAAAGAATTTTGAACCTAGAATTTCATATGCAGTCAAACTAGCTTCATAAGTGAAGGAGAAATAAAATCTTTTTCAGACAAGCAAATACTGAGGGAATTTGTTACCACCAGGCCTGCCTTGTAAGAGCTCCTGAAAGAAGCACTATATAAGGAAAGAAAAAGCTGGTACTGGCCACTGCAAAAACACACCCAAATATAAAGATCAATGACACTATGAAGAAACTGCATTAACTAGTGTGCAAAATAACCAGATAGCATCATGATGACAGGATCAAATTCACACATAACAATACCAACCTTAAATGTAAATGGGCTAAATGCTCCAATCAAAAAACACGGACTGGCAAATTGGATAGAGTCAAGACCTATTAGTGTGCTGTATTCAGGAGACCCATCTCACATGCAAAGACATGAATAGGCTCAAAATAAAGGGATGGAGGAAAATTTACCAAGCAAATGGAAAGCAAAAGAAAAACAGGGGTTGCAATCCTAGTCTCTGACAAAACAGACTTTGAACCAACAGAAATAAAAAAAGACAAAGAAGGGCATTACATAATGGTAGAGGAAAAAATTCAACAAGAAGAGCTAACTATTCTGAATATATATGCACCCAATACAGGAGCACCCAGATTCATAAAACAAGTTCTTACAGACCTACAAACAGACTCCTTAAACTGATAAGGAATGTCAGCAAAATCTTAGGATACAAAATCAATGTGCAAAAATTACTAGCTTTCCTTTACACCAACAACAGGCATGCAGAGAGCCAAATCATGAATGAACTTCCATTCATAATCACTACAAAGAGAATAAAATACCTAGGAACACAGCTAACAAGGGATGTGAAGGACCTCTTCAAGAAGAACTACATACCACTGCTCAAGGAAATAAAAGAGGACACAAACAAATAAAAAAATTCCAACCTTATTGTTAGGAAGAATCAATATTGTGAAAATGTCCATACTGTCCAAAGTAATTTATGGATTCAATGCTATTCTCATCAAACTACCATTGACATTCTTCACAGAATTAGAAAAAACTGCTTTAAATTCTATATGAAATCAAAGAAGACCCCGTGTAGCCAAGACAATCCTAAGCAAAAAGAACAAAGCTGGAGGTGTCATGCTACCTGACTTCAAACTATACTACAAGCCTACAGTA